CTCTTTTGCACTTTTTGTTTCACTTAACATATCTTGGTTATTACTCAGTATCAGCACAGAGGGCTGGCTTGTTCTAACAAATGCGTAATTTCTTTAACCAGTCCTCTACTGATGAACACTTAGGAACTCTCATTTCTTGATAGTTCCTTTCAGATTAGATTCTAGGAGGAAAAAACCCAACTGACTGTAAGGTTTCAATTAAGAGACTTAGCATGCTGAATGTGCAACTGGAGTATTCCTATGTAACTTATCTACCTACATGTTCTTACTCACTGGATACACAAATTAAACCTAAACGTCCCACTAAAATATTCCAATTACGAAATGCACAATATGTATATTTCTCACAGAGCCATTCATGGTCCCAGAACCAAGTCAGCTAGCATCTACCATTATTCCTTGCTTTCTTTGTACAGGAGACTCTTCTACAGATTACACGTACTGCGCTCTAATGTAGATAAAAAATTACCATTTGCAGTTTTTCCTTTCTAAATATCGTCCTTTTAATCAAAGCAACTGGTTCTGAACTAACTTGATCATTTTCCTTCACACCCTCCTACCACCTTCCAAGCCACGTTGAAGTTCTTCAAAAACCATCTAGTACCTTTAAAGGTGTCTACCATTTTCTAAAGAGTTAACTCTAGAAACTAAAACTGTCATGTAGTTGCTTCTCAAAAGTGCTTAGGATTCTTGGTGTAACAGGACAAGATGAGCCTTGGCATATGTGAATTTCACCACTTACCCTAGCTAGGTTAGCTTGAGCAAATTACCATCAAACTTTCAGCGGCCTAATCTGAAATCAAAAAAACACTTTCCATTACAGTATCTCATCAATCTTTGTGAGAAACCTGAGTGTGTCTGGCACATACGCAGTGGTGCTAAATGTATCCTAACTGAATCGAAATATTATCTTCCATTGTTTCATTCACAACCAAACTGGAGAACAGGGATTTAAACAAATTTTACTATTTCCCATGGGCTTTAGAATAGTATTGGGCTCGGGCGCCTGGGTGGCTCAGTTGGTTAAGCGACTGCCTTCAGCTCAGGTCATGATCCCAGGGTCCTGGGATCGAGCCCCGCATCGGGCTCCCTGCTCCGCGGGAAGCCTGCTTCTCCCTCTCCCACTCCCCCTGCTTGTGTTCTCTCTCTCTGTCAGATAAATAAATAAATAAAATCTTAAAAAAAAAAAAAAAAAGAATAGTATTGGGCTCTTAAGTGCTAAAAAGTTATTTCGGCTTGAGTAAATTCTATATAAACCATTATGGTGGATAAGGCACCTATTTGTTAGTAAGAGAACTTCCCTTAACTAGCATGGCAGTCCCAAATTTCTAAAAGCCATGGAAATCTCAAACTTCCCAATAAAATGGCTTACTGACTCTCAAGGATGATTAAATTGAGCAGACTCAAGCGGGAGCGGGGTGCAAAGTATTTCCTCCCCCATAATTATGCACCGGACTAAATATTAAACTGACACGTAGTAAACGCTCCATAATTAGTAGCTGTTATTAAGAGGCATCCCACGGGGAGAGAAGACGGAAGGAGGCAAAAGAACGGAGGCTGTCAGTCACAAGAGGTCGAAAGGTGTTCCTGGCCTGTGACCCGTAGGCCTTGAAGCACCTGGGTCTACGAGATCCCTGAGGAACCGGGGGCCGAAAGAGGTCAGTGGCCTCCCCTAAAGGTCAGGGTTCTTTCAGGCGCGTTTCCTGCAGGGGCCAGAAGCAGAGCAGAACGCCCCCGCGAGAATCTGTACCCCGAAGCCAGAAGCACCGCCTGCCTGTAAACCGCGCGGGCTCTGGGAGAGGGGAGGACCGGGATGCCGCTGCGCCGCAGCCTGCAGGAGCAGAAACCCGGCCGCGTCCTGCAGCTCGAAACCTTAGGGGCAGACCACCAGGACCCCGCCGTTCCGGGATGCCTCAACGCAGCCCGGCCCCTCGATACTCACAATCACAGCCGACCCCTCTTACTCCATCAGGCCGCCAAGGTCCCCGGGAGGGGGCTCCCCGAGGCCCCCCTCAGTTTTGGGTCCGGCGGCCCACTCCGGACCCCTTCCCCGCCGGGCACCGCCGCCGCTGCCGCCAGCGCGCAGGCGCACACCGCCGCCGTCACGCTCCTTTTTTTCCCCCCCCTTTGCTGCCCGCCTTTCTCAATAATCTAGCTTTATTTGAACACACGAGAGTGAACAACGGACACAGGGGAAAGAGGCTTTACTGGAAAAGAAAGATCAAGAAGGCAGCCCGGCTTGCAGAAGTTACTCGGCTGCACTGAACGCACCTGTGACCAGCCTCCCTAGTTCCTTTCTCATTCTTTTACTCTTTCTGGGCCTCCCAGTTGCTTCTACTCTCTTCCTAAATCCCCAGCATTCCTTTTATATTGTGGCAATTGTTTAAGCTAAATTTCGAACCATTTTTGCCTTGTAAAACTTACTGAAGTTTAATGGAAGGTGCAAGAGCTTGAGGGCAGACAGATCTGAGTTCAATCTTGACCTAGCTACTAGTAATTTATGACTTTGGGCAAATTACAAGTTTTCTCGGAAACTCAGTTTCTGCACAGTTAAAATTAGGATAGTGATATCTCTCAGGGGGTTGCTGGGATTAAATGACATAACAGGGGTCAAGTGCCTATCCATGAATGGGTGCCCGTCATAAAGTAAAAAAATCCATGAATACCAATGATTATATTTTAATACTGAATGTATTTATTTCCTTCATTAAATGTAGTCCATACTCATTCCCTCAGGATCCTATTTTTAGTGACTACAATTAATCAGATAAACCAAGTTACATTAAGATTAATAATGGTGTGAAGTGTTACTCCTATATTATTGAAGTTCTAATAATGTCTATGTTCAACAAGATCTTCAATACCTAAAATCAAAGTAAGCAACTCATCTTCATCTATGTATAAGCCCAGATTTGCATCTACAGGAGTGAGGAGCTATTCCAATTCTGTATTTGTGACATCACAATTTCTTGAAACACTCAAAGTCTGAGGTACACTGCTCATTCTACTCTCCTTCAAAGGTGCAATGGAAGGACTATGTTGCCCTATAAGCTCAGGGCCATAGTCCAAGAAAAAGCTTGTAGAAGACCAAAGTCAGCCATTGGTGAGCATCAAGGTAATCCTAGATCAGGGTTTTTTTGGGTTGTTTTTTTTTTTAAGATTTATTTATTCATTTGAGAGGCAGAGAGCAGGGGAGCGGGGAGTGGCAGAGGGAGAGGGAGAGAAGCAGACTCCCAGCTGAGTACAGACACCACCACTCCGAGATCATGACCTAAGCGGAAACCAAAAGGAGGACACCCAACCGACTGAGCCACCTAGGCACCCCTAGGTCAGGGTTTTATAACCTTGGTACTATGATACTTTGAACATAATTTTTTTTAGAGGTGGGGAGGGGCAGAAGGAAAGAGAGAGAATCTCAAGCAGGCTCCACGCCCAGTACAGAGCCCAATGCTGGGCTCCATCTCACAACTCTGAGATCACGACCTGAGCTGAAATCAAGAGTTGGACACTTAACGGACTGAGACACCCAGGTGCCCCTATTTTGGAGATAATTCTTGTGCTGTCCTGTGCATTGTAAGATGCTTAGCAGCATCCCTGGACACTAGATGCCTGTAGTATCCCCCACCTTTACGTCCTTCACATGCCTTTACATTACATCCTTTACATTACACCTACGTGCCTTTATATCCCCCAACTCAATCCCCATCATCTTGACAATCAAAAATGACTCCAGACATTTCCAAATATTCCTTCAAAGGCAAAAATGTTCCTGGTTGAGAACTATGGCATTATACCATGGCATTATCCCAACCATAAATAAACTCAACCATACATTTTGTCCACTTCTGCGCACAAGAAGTGACTGCTACTTGAGAAAGTCACACAGGAGGGTAGAAGCTGGGAAGCTCATTTTTACCAATCTTATAAAAGCCCACACTGCTTAACAGTCCTACTTGTCTGGGGTCAACTTGTTCTTTCACTTTCTGTAACAATATTCCAAAACTTCTCCACTTTCCTTAAAGCTCCCAGCTCCTTTTCTATTAGCAGATGACCTCATCTCCTACTTCACAGAGAAAACAGAGGTCATCAGATGAGAACTTCTTTAACTTCCTGTTACTAAACATAAAACATAAAACTTACACATACTTCCTCTTATAACTGAGATACCTTCTCTCTTCCAAAACCCTCTTCTTCTTTGAAATACTTTTTATTTATTTATTTATCTATCTATCTATCTATCTATTTTAATTTCAAGCACTGTGCTCTATTCAGGAAGAGTTCCTGGACCTGTTTAAAGCCCTTCAATGGCTGTGTTCATAGCATAAAGTGCAGGCTCACTAGTCCAAAAGTGCAAAACCTTCCAAGATCTGGCCCATTGCTGACTATTTAAACCTTATTCCCCACTTCACCCGGAGATACACCATGAGCTGCAAGCCTCTAACCAGGATGAACTACAAGGAATTTACCGAAGGTGCTATGTTCTTAATGGCATACGCTGTTCCCACAGGCTGGAAAACTATTTCCCTCCATCCCAGACTTCTGGCAGAACTCCTACTTAGCCTTCCTGACTGAAAAGTCAATTCCTCTGGGAACCCTTTCTGACATCTCTAAGAATAAGGCGCTGCTTTCATTGTGCGCCAACTTCGCCTCGGACTTTCCAACGCCATACACCATATTCTATCCACTATAATTTGTTTACATATCGATCTCCAATCTAGACAGGTGGAAAGACCCGGGAAGGCAGGGAAGGCATTTTTTTTCTCCCTCTTTTCTTCAGCGATCATCCAGCAAACGGTTTACCCTTGACAAATGTTTGTTGCATAAATACTTCCCACCTTTGAGAGGGATTCGAATTATCCGGTCAACGGGTGAGTCCGCAGACTCTCCGCCTGCGTGGCAGGGAGATTTAAACCCCTCAGACTGTGATTGGCTCTAGATGCAGGGGTGTGTCCGCGGCCGCGCGGCCAGGGAAGTGCGCAGGCGCGCGGCTCCGGCGCGCGCAGGCGCTAGGAGGACTCACCCTCAGGTCCGGCCGGGGGTGTCCGAGCCGCTGCGGCGCGAGAGGAGTGGCCGGAACTGCTTGGTGAGCCTTCAGGAGTGGGGTTGAGGGAGCTAGCCCGGTTGAGATTTGGGATCAGATCCCAGGAAGAAGAGTATTATCGTGACGGCTTAAAACTTGGGGTGGCCGGGCTTAAGGGGAGGAGTAGAGGTGCTCTGGCCGGGACTGGGCAGGCTGGGCCCGGAGCAAGGACTCGAGCCACCGGGAAACTACCTTGGGGCCGGCGGAGAAGGGTGGGGGGATGGTGGTTCGTCGGACCCCTCCTAAAAACCAAGCAGAGGAAGGGTGGCGGGATGGTGGTTCGTTGGACCCCTCCTCAGCCTCTACCCCTCCAGTGTTCCTGTGATCGGGCTTAATTGACTGTATGGTGACCACAGTGATCAGATAACTCTGAACTAGTTGTGTGAAGGTGTCTAAGGTTCGTGGCGTTGGAGAGTCCATGCTCTCTAGGAAAGTCCATCCTTAACGTCGCGGCTTTACTGTAGACTAACGAAGGATCTGTAAAACACCGAATTTTACAATTCCAGGCTGGAGTTGTTGGTTGCGGGGGTGGGCAGGGGGAGTACCGGAAAGTGCTATTTCAGCTCATCCTTTTTTTCATCATTAGTCACCACAATGTTAGGAAAGGTAGACGAGGGTAGAGGAAACCGAAAGACATCAAAGTTGGGAAAAGAAGATGAAAAGGGAGTATCATTTTGCCTTTTGCTAGTCATCTCCTTTAGGAAGTAGGGGGACGACTGGCGAGGGGTGCTTGGATATTAGCTTCTGACAGCGTTCCCTCAGTCATGTGAAAATAACGTAGCTTCACAGAAGCAGATATTTCAAGAACTGAGAGGAATATTACTCCCTCTGCCCTTATGTCCTTAAGACTGGCTTCAGATGTGCCAGTAAAAAGTACAGCAGATAAGACCAAATAGAAATGATTCTCCAGCGTTCTTGCCTAGCCTGGAAAACCACACTTGACATTCATGGCACATCATTAGCTAGAACACGTTGAGATCTAAACAAACTATTTCATAGTAAGGTTTTTTAAAAATTAATGTTTCTTCCACCATCACAGTTGATGCCTCAGGCATTCTAATGGTTAGTTGTCACTCGTTCCTTTGGCAAGAGGTAACGAGAAAGAACACATTCATATAAATGTTAGCAAATATTAGGAGAAACATCTCTGCTCACATTACCATGCTCCTTTGACAGTAAGTGTGACAGTAAATAGAATAATCATGTAACAGCCTACAGCTCAGATATTTATCGTATTTCTAGGCTTCTTTTTTTTTCTTTTTTTTTAAGGTGCTTGTATGTGGATATGTACTAGAAAATTCCTGTTATTCTAGTTCCAGGATAACAAAGTCTTATTGTGCCATTATTTTCTTAACAGTATGGCACTCTTTCCTATAAACAGTAGTATTTCTGTATGCATCTTAGTGTTTGCTTCTTTTACTCTAAATGAGCTTAAGCATAGTAACAGGATAACTAAAGGTCACATCATTTCTAATCATTCAGAACACAACCTTGAACCAAGAAGGAAGCAAATACACAAAAATAATAAATAAAAAAACAGGCCCTGTTGTTCATGGGACAGCTGTATTTCACTCCTCTTGAACCATACCACTATAATAAAATTTGCCTTTTAGAAGATCATCTGTGTTATTTTATTTCATGTTTTTAATAGACTTGTTTTCAGCACTACCCTCTTCCAAAGTGATAATCTGTGAAATTATGGTTTTTATGTATACCTTTTTCTAGTATACATTATAATAACTTCAGTATGTAACTTGTTTATATAACAACTGAAATCATCTCGTGTTCTTGCTCTGCATTCTGGAAAATACTGCTTTGGAACTAACCTACTCATTTTTAAAATAAAGTGAAGATTGGACTAGGCCAGTGGACTTCAAAATTCTGTGAACTCAGTGATGGCATTCACTATTGTGACACAATTCTAGCACACCTACTTATCTGGTTTCACCAGATGAAAGTAGATTAGAATAGCAAAAGGGAAAAAGAGGATGTTTGCTCTTTGACATTTTTGTGAAATCAGCTGCCTTTTTTTTTCTTCTAAATTAAGGTGCTATGTCTTAAAACATTCTGGAAGTTTGTTTTTTATGTTTGTACTCAGTGTTATTTATATTTTAGCATTTATAATATATGATGTTGCTTGAATTCAAGAGTGCTGAACTTTTTTATTCTAGTGCTATATTTCGTTTCTAGGTTTGTCGATTGAGAAAGGACTAGATGACAAGGACTGGTCTTTTTCTTTGTTGTGGTGAATAGAGACTTGAAACAGATGGATCCAGTGCCTCCAGCAACTGGAGGAAGTGGATTATAGAGCCAGGAAACAGCATGTACTGCTCATTTTGTAATATTGGTGGTGGAAGTGGTGTTCCATTTGCACTCAGTTAAATTCACTGACATTTTGGTTTTGATTTCAATTTCATACTTGTATACTTATCAGTATATTTTTTCTGGAATCCCCCCATCCGTCTTGACTTTTGTGAGATGTGTAACTTGGATTTAAATTTATTTGAACAATGCTTTGACAATTGAAATTACCTTTAGATGGCCTTTTGAGACTTCTAAAATAAAATCCAAACTTCTTGGTAGAGTACACAAAGCCCTTCAAAACCTGTCTCCTGTGTCTGCCTTTTAAAGCCACCCTACCCACTCTGAATACACATAACAGTATATTCTGGCATGACTACGGAGGCCTTACATTATGACACTTCTTTGATAGTCTAAAATCACAATTTTTTTAGGGTTGATCATGCTTGGATTTTGATTCTCAAATCAAAATCACAAGAGATGTTTAATAATTATGAAAGATTATGATAGCTTCATTGAGCACTATATACCAGTCAAGGTTTAAATGCTTAGCATGAATTAACTCAGTCCTTATAATGCTCAAAATAAACATTATATTCTCATTTAATGAAAAAAACTGAAGCACAGAGAAGTAAATTAGGCAATAGTCAGGATTTTAAAACATGCCTCCAAGTATTGGGCACTTAACCACTACGCTCTATTGCCCTTTGTATAAACAAGAATGGCACTCTTCTTCTTTTTTAAGATTTTATTTATTTGAGAGAGCAAGAGCATGAGCAGGGGGAGGGACAGAGTGGAGGGACAAGCAGACTCCCTGCTGAGGACAGAGCCTGCCTGATTGGGGCTTGATCCCAGGACCCTGAGATGATGATCTGAGCTAAAGTCAGATGCTTAACCTGCTGAGCCACCCAGGCGCCCCAAGAATGCCACTCTTTTTACCTACTGTGGGGGATATTCTTTTCCAGGGTCCTGAGTGCTTATGTTCTCTATCTCTGGCATCGTATCAGAATATTTGAGAAGCTAACCAGAAAGCTTCTAGGTGAACTTAGAATCAGAGCCAAAATACTTGGATGACTTGGGTAAATATTTCATTCAGGCAAGGTGAATCCTTGCTAATTGTCCCTACCTCACACTTGGTGTCTTCCTTGGCAGATACCATACTTAAGTCTGCCAGATTGTACGTCTCTCCTACTTAGAGAATGAATGCTGCATTCTTGAACCTCTTTCTTAACTCTTATAGAGCATCCCTTTTCTGTTTCCATACCCTTTCTTTTAGACAATGTCAATACAATTGATTATAATCACATATAGATCTACCTTCCTAAGATTATATTCTGGTCACTTAGAGTAGAATTGTGGAAGTTCCAGGGTTGAGCAGGACTTGAAAACTAGGTGTTGGGCTTCAGCAATTAAGTCATAAACAGTACTTCTATAAAGCTGAAATGTAATCTTGATCTTTTCGGTTCCTGATTTTTAGTGGTATTTTCTCAGCAGTATGGTTTCTGTCTGGAATCCTGTGCTTCAGTGCTCTTTGAAACAAGATGTTTAATAGATATGATTCAGTGGTGTACTTCTTATATTTGCATAGTTTTTGAGCTTTATAAGAATGGTTAAAATTGGGGACGCCTGGGTGGCTCAGTCGTTAAGCATCTGCCTTCGGCTCAGGTCATGATCCCAGGGTCCTGGGATCGAGTCCCACATCGGGCTCCTTGCTCAGTGAGGAGCCTGCTTCTCCTCCCTCTGCTGCTCCCCCTGCTTGTGCTCTCTCTCTCTCTCTCTCTGACAAATAAATAAATAAAAATCTTAAAAAAAAAATGGTTAAAATTGTTCCTGTAGAAGGAAGTAGAAAGGAAACACAGGAAGTAAAAGGAGGAAACTAGCCTTGACATAGATAAAGCTCTCATCTGAATGTCTTTAGAAAGAATTAAATTTCTAACCAGAGCAGGGGCTCTTTTTGGCGTGACCTAGAGTATTTTGAGTATTTTAGAATACTGTGCACCTGTACTTTTTGTGTGTGTGAACATCCTTCCTTCTTTTCTTTTTTTTTAAGATTTTATTTATTTATTTGAGAGAGAGACCGCAAGAGAGCACACAAGCAAGGGGAGCGGCAGAGGGAGAGGGAGAAGCAGGCTCCCCGCAAGCAGGGAGCCCGATGCAGGGATCAGTCCCAGGACCTCAGGATCATGACCTGAGCTGAAGGCAGACGCTTAACTGACTGAGCCATGCAGGCGCCCCCCATGTGTGAACATTTTTAATGTTTCATATTAAAAATGGGATCTAAGCAAAAAATATATTCCTAAAGAAAAACTAAATTCTTTTACCCCATAAGTGATGGTCCATGTCTGAATTTCTACTTTGTTCTCTATTATCCTTTCTTCTATTTTTTCCATTTTTTTCTCCGTTATTCATCTTTAGATACACAGGTGTGAGATGGGGATGACACAAGGCTCACCCTGCTTGAATAAAATATTCACCCCAACCATCCAAAGTATTTTGGCTGTGATTCTAAGTTCACCTAGTAACTTTTTGATTAGCCTCTCAAACAGTCAAATACCACAGATAGAGAACATAAATAACGTGAGCACTGTGCTAAACACTTTACATACATTAATTCATTTCTGAAACAACATTGGGAGGTAGAACTGTTACCCTAATGAACAAGGAAACTGAAACTTGAATAGGTTGAGTAAATTGCCTGGGTA